ATTAAGAGAAATATAAAACTCGGATTTATCTTCAATCCTGGTTTTATATATGGCTGCCATTAGTTGCTCATCATTGTTCGAAGTGGATATCAAAAATGCCAGTTTAAATTATGTCATTCTTTTTATGGTTTGGAACGATCTTCATGTACTTGCTACTAGCTATGTAACAAGGTTAGTGCATATGACTTGTATGCTCTGGCTCAAAGGGGTGTGTAGGAAGTAAGTGTGGAATAAAGTTGAGAATAAAGTAGGAACATTTCTGAAAAGTACCAATTCCAGAACCTTAGAATAGGGGACTATAGAACAAAAAGATGAAAAGGTTTCTCCAAGATAAACAGTTTTAAATTATACTAAAGCATCATACTCTAAAGTTATTTTCTTAAAAGGTTAAGTCATTAGTTAACTAATAGTGATGATGATGATGATGACAAAGAGAAAATGAAGCAATAACATACAATTGCCCCTGATGTACAGTTGACTGTAATATCTCCACCATTGATTTCAACAACCTCTCCATCTATCCAAGCTACCACAGGATCCTCAACCCAAACATGTGTTCCAACAACTACACTGGAAACACTCTGCAAGAAATGGTTAAAATTACTAGCATGAAAATCCAAACAGAAAAATGGGTGTTGAAAATTACACTATACACTAACCACACCAATCATATTTGTTTTTAAAAAATGTATAAAGATACACCTATCCACGCAATAAAACTATGAATCACGGAGGAAGGAGAAGAAGAAGAAGAAGAAGAAGAAGAAGAATGGAACATCTAAGTCATGATTTATGAAAACTTCATGGAACACCTATCAATCCTCGACTAAAATCTAGTAATGATTTATGAAAATTTCATGGAACATCTAAGTCATGATGAAAGAGAAGACCTGCTGAACATCCTTCCAAAAAAAGTTGTTGGTTGGGGGGGTTTGCTTGGGGTGGAAACTGTATTAGCTCGTAGTGTATGTTGTAGCAGAAATAGTAATACAGATGTGTTTGTTAGCCAATAAGCCATGCACTTGTTGTTTGACTCATCCTATGAGAGAAACAGCAAATTAAATAGAAGAATTCAAGTTGGAAACATGCATGGGTTCTAACTAACCATAAAAAGTTATGTGCTTGGGAATGGGATCAATGCAACTGTTTGGACGTTGGAGTTACTATAGCGGATGAGTGGGCTGTTGCATGCAAAGAAGATGAAGCATTTGTAGGATGAGCAGTATGAAAAACTAAAACAAGACTAGAAAGAATTTATGAGTTCTCCTAAAAATGCCTTTGTAGCTGTTTGGTGTTTTTATTCAAGTCTTGCTTACTTGCTTATTACTCCATCCATTTCAAAATACTAATCCCAAATTGAATTTCATGGTATCCGGTACAACAGTTTGAACATTATTATGTGTAACTATATGCAATAAATACACTAAATGCAATATATTCTAAAACCCCAGACCCTACTGTAGTAGGATTCAACTGGGTTGTTGTTGTTGTTGCAGTATATTCTAAAGTAGTACAATACTTCAAAATGAATATAATGATATTAGTTACACAATTCACATTATAACATAATGTGTTTTTAACACAAATCATAGTCAAATTTTGCAATGTTCGACTACCGACTTCAATGTGGGATGAATATTATGAAATAGAGGGAATATTACTCAAGGGTTGCTTGTAATTAGTGTGGGTTAGTCTTAATGTTGGGTTGTTATCATCTCATGTTTTCAAAAGTAAACCAATCTAACCATGCTTGTGTGTACAAACTTAGCAGATCAAGATTCACATTGTGTATCTATTTTTAGGGGTTTGTAAATTGTAAATGCTCTCTATTCAAGATTCACGGTCAAGTTCTGGGCTTTAGATAAATGTACCTCATGTCCTCATTCTTCAAACGTGTGAATACACCTACTCCCCCTCCCAGAAAAAGAAAAAGGAAAAGCTTGCCCTAAGGCTTGCAAAAAATTACTATGAGGCAAAAGTTTTGTTGTGAAGACTTAAAGGTCCTCTTATTTTTCAAAAATACTCCAAAGCCATTGAATTTGATTGTAAATATTTATAGGGGGTCTTCTGGGGCTAGCATCTCAATGATCGACAAACAATTGATCTAGTTTCCTTAAAATTAGTATATTTCCCATTATGCCCTTAGCAACAAAAATAGTGTATTTTTTAATGCCTTCTAATTTCTTTCAGCTATTTCCATTTTTTCTAAAATCTCCCAATATCTTCCAACATAGACTTTAAAAAAATTATTTAGATGTATTTTCATATATTATATATTATTATTATTAGTATTATTATTTCAATAAAATAAAAAATTAGTTTATTGTCACAATTCATAAAAAGTTATCCTCAAAAAATCATATGATTTTGAATGCAAGGGAGGAGCTCAAGAGTATTGATAAATCTTTATCAAAGGGCATTTTGGGCATTTTATTCTTATCAAAATGTTGGCACTGGACTGTCCATTTTAAGCCTTTACAATTAAATTTAATGGATTTTGAATATTTTTGAAAAAATTGGAGGACCTTTGAGTCTTTACAACAAAATTTATGTCACCTCATAGGAATTTTTTGCTAAGGCTTGTGTGGATATACACAGTTCTTTTTTTCCAAGTTGGAAGAACATGGCTCAATGAGGTCACACATGGTTGGTCCAGTATATTTCAGTATAT